TTAGGGTCGATAACCATTATCCAGCATTGTTCCAGCCAAAACTCAAAGAATGACCCTTGATACCTCTCTTTCCCTTATGAGTCCCTCTCACACCCTGGAAAGCCCATTAGCAAGATCCATTAGTTCTTCCTACAAAATACATCCCAAATCTGTCTAATTCTTTCCATCTCTACTGCCATACTGCATTTCAAGTAACACAAACCTTTCCGTGGCTTCCCGTTACACAGAGTAAAATCCAAATATCCTACCACGTGACCTACAAGTCCCATCATGATCTGGGGTTGCATGTGGCCATATAGATCATGCATTGCACAACTTTAGAGGCCCTTCCACACCTCCTCATTCTTCAGCTACTTTTTGTCAACTCCTACAGTGTCATTCCCTCACGTTTTCTGTGCTTATCTCCCCCCCCCCATTTCTTCAGGCCTGCATCTCAACTCTGTATTTGCCTCTTGGCCCCCACCTTTGTTCAATTATATATATATAGATGTGTGTGTGTCTAGTATTATCACTATTCTAGCAGAAGGATGTCTTTATTCCTTCACTGAAACTGAAATTTAACTTCCCTCCAAGGACAGCACTTTTCCTGCTCTTTCCATACCAGATGCCTACCATTTCTTTTCACCCGATTGTACTGTAGAACCTGAAAATAATGTTGCCTTTTCCCTGGATTTTGGGGGTCACCGCTGGACCATTACAGTTGAAGGATTTTCCATAAAAATCTTCCTCTTTGCCAGCACTTAGCAACTTCATTTACTACCTCTACCTTTCTCTTTTCACATTCCCTCATTCACAGATACAATGTTGGGGTCTGATTCACGGTCTTCCTTTTCTCTACCACTTGACAACATGATGAGTGACTTGCACATCTTGCTTGTCTCATATTTTTTGACTTCCTACAATCTAATTATTTGGCAAACCCCATTTACTCTACTTCATCAGTCCACATTCAAGGCCATGCCCTGGATCTTATAGTATCACAAAACTATTCCTTCCTTGCACTTTAGGGGCCAACTTACTTTCTTTGACCTTAATTTCATATTATTCCCCACTTTTTTTTTTTTAGATTCAATACCATTTTTCCCTTTTCTGACACTTGCCACTGCTGTACTCTGTTCTCTTTGAAACTTGTTTCCCCCATAAGCCTACTCACTGGTTTCAATTCTTCTGCAGACCTGGAAATGTTGCTCAGAGATCCATCACTCTTATTGTCTTTCTTTCTTGTGCTCTCTTTAAGCAATCTCAAGCACATGCATTTGCAGTTGATTTCCAAATACCAGAGTTCTCTTCTGTAATCCATAATCATACATCCAACTGCTTACTAGATGTTTCCACCTGGATGTCCCACAGTACCTTCAAAATGATGAGTCTCCACACCAATTAAAACAGCTAACAGAAAACAACAAATGTTGGTGAGAATGTAGAGAAATTAGAACCCTTGTGCCCCATTGGTGGAAATCTAAAATGATACAGGAGCTATGGAAAACAGAAGGTCCTCAAGAAAATTAAAAAATAGAATTACTAGACGATCTAGCAATTTCACTTCTGGGTACATGTCCAAAAGAACTGAAAGCAGGATCTCAAAGAATTATTTGTATAGCCGTGTAACTAGCAGCACTATTCACAATAGCCAAAATGTGAAAGCAATCCAGATGTCCACTGACAGATGAATGGATAAAGAAAATGTGGTATACACAATGATATATACCATGGAATATAATTCAGCCTTAAAAAAAAGGAAGAAAATTCTGACATATGTTAGATGAACCTTGACGATATTATGCTAAGTGAAACAAGCTAGCCAGAGGGAGGGGGAAATGGTGAGTTGTTGTTAAATGGATATAAAGTTTCAGTTTCAAAATATGAAAATTCTGGAGATTGGTTGTACAACATTATGCAAATAGTTAATTTTGCTGATCCGTCCACTTAAAGATGGCCAAGATGGTAAATTTTATGTGTTATGCTACAATTAAAAACAGACAAAAACATGTCCCAAAACAGTATAGAGGTTCCTCAAAAAGTTGAAAATAGAGCTATCCTATGATCCAGCAATTGCACTACTGGGTATTTACCCCAAAGATGCAAATGTAGTGATCCAAAGGGGCACTTTCACCCCAATGTTTATAGCAGTAATGTCCATGATAGTCAACCTATGGAAAAAGCCCAAATGTCCATCGACAGATGAATGGATAAAGAAGATATGGTACAGGGATCCCTGGGTGGCCCAGCAATTTAGCGCCTGCCTTTGGCCCAGGGCGCGATCCTGGAGACCCGGGATCGAACCCCACGTCGGGCTCCCGGTGCATGGAGCCTGCTTCTCCCTCTGCCTGTGTCTCTGCCTCTCTCTCTCTCTCTCTCTCTCTGTGTGTGTGTGACTATCATAAATAAATAAAAAAATTTTAAAAAAAAGAAGATATGGTACAGATATACAATGGAATATTACTCAGCCATCAAAAAATGAAATCTTGCCATTTGCCATGACATGGATAGAACTGGAGGGCATTATGCTTAGTGAGATAAGTCAATCAAAGAAAGACAATTATCATATGATCTCATTTGTATGTGGAATTTAAGAAACAAAACAGAGGATTTTAAGGGAAGAGAGGAAAAAATAAAACAAGATGAAATCAGGGAGACAAACCATAAGAGACTCTTCTTAATCATAGGAAACAAACTGAGGGGTGCTGGAGGGCAGGGGAGGGGGGATGGGGTAACTGGGTGATAGATATTACAGAGGGACTGTGATGTAAGGATCACTGGATATTGCATAAGACAGATGAATCACTGACCTCTACCTCTGAAACCAATAACACATTATATGTTAATTCACTGGATTTAAATTTTTAAAAATGTCCTAACTGAACTCAGTACATTTATTCCCAATCCACTTTTCTTCCAGTTTTCTGAATCTCAAGGACAGCCACTTGAGCCACAGTCATCCAGGCAGAAAACTGGGTATGAATCAGAAATTCTCTCTCTGCCTCATTCTTTTTGTCAATCCAGTCATCAGGCTTTTGGGCTCCATCTTCTTAACATCTCTTTATACACCCCAAGCTCTCCAGCCCCTCTGTGGGTATCCTTATCTGTTCTCACTCTGAGTTGTTGATGTGACTGCTTTCTAAATACTCTCTCCTAAATCTTACTCATTTAAGCCACTTTTCCATTTTAATATGTTTTCCCTTAAAACTCCTAATATGAAATTATATTCACTCCTAACAATACTTTAACTATACTCCATTGGCTGCTACTTTAGAATAGAAAGTTAGACTCACTCTGATCTGGTCCCTATTTTCTAGTTACTAGCTTGTCTCAGTTTGGGCCTCTCTTCATACAATACACTCCAGCTATACTAAACTAGTTCCAGAGAACATGTTGTATGTCTCTGCACCTTTGTCCATGCTGCACTCTCTGCTTGAGCTGCCAGGAATGCTCCTCCTCATCCTGTCCACCTGGTGAACACCTGGTTTTCTTTGAAGACTACTCAAATCTCATGTCTCATATGAAACTTCTTCTGACCACTTCCCTTTTTCCTTCACTCAGTTGCTTCTGTAACATTGTATTACACTTGTTTTCTTTACATGTGTGGGTCCCTTATCTCAGATCCCTTTGAAGGCAAGACTGCGCCTTATTTCTATTTATATTCTTAATGCCAAACACAGTGTCTGCAGTATTGTACATGTTCATTAAAAGTTAAGTATATCATTTATTATATGGGTATAAATTGAAGATTTATTAAAAAAATAAATTGAAGGGATCCCTGGGTGGCTCAGCGGTTTAGCGCCGCCATCAGCCGGGGTGTGATCCTGGAGTCCCAGGATTGAGTCCCATGTCGGGCTCCCTGCATGGAGCCTACTTCTCCCTCTGCTTCTCTCTGCCTCTCTCTGTGGGTCTCTCATGAATAAATAAATAAAATCTTAAAAAAAATATATTGACGATTTATTGATCATTTAGTCAACAAACATTTATTATTCAATACTTGTGTATTTTCTAGTGTTGGAGTGACTAGGCCTCTAGTGCACAATCTTGTTGGAAAACAGGTATGTTAAAACTTACCTCATGATATGGCAAGTACTTAGCAGAGGTGAAAATTCTTCGTGGGCCAGGGAATTTATTAACCATTGTGTCCTTGGAGCCTAGGTCAGGGATTATACTTAATAAATGCTTAATAAGTAGTGGTTGAATTGAATTCAACCTGTGAAACATTCTGGGCTCAACCTGTTGACTTAATTGTGCAGGTATATAATGTTCCAGGCAGGGAGTAGGTGTAGAGAAATTGAGAAATCATGAAAGATTTTGGTGCTATTATAAGGAATCTGGCTGTATCCTGTAGGCAACTGGGCCAGGAGAGGCTTTTAAGCAGGAAAATGGTAGGGCCCCCTTAGTTCATTAGGAAGAAAACTGAATTGGAGGGAGAAGAGATGCAAAACTGGGAAATGATGGGGGTGGGGGCGGGGTGGGGAGGTCATTGCTATTGTCCAGTTGAGTGATGATGGTGGATTAAGCCAGAGATGGGCAAGGATGATGGGCCCAAGGGGCTGGATTCCAGGATTTTTGATTCAGATCAAGATTTAGTGCCAGTAAGACGAGGGAAGGAGGATGGAGAAAGTGAAAACGAGGCCAGTAGGTTTTTCATGAGGCTCGAGCTCTGTAACATACATAGGAGACAACGATCCAGAAACTACAAAACACCACACTTGTGTTTTTTTCATCCTCTCTGGTGTCCCTTAGTTTAGCTGGGCAAAGCGACTTTTAGGGTGCAAGGAAAATGCCAAACTTCGCGTTGGCTTTTTTTTTTTTCTTCTGAGATTTCCCAAGACACGGGGAGGGACCACCGGAGCCTGGAGGGACAGGAAAGGGAGGAGAGCGGCGGGCGGGCGGGCGGGCGGGCGGGCGGTTCACAGACCTCGCCCCACGACCCCGGAGCCCCGCCCACCGCCTCTCCTCGCCGCCCAATCACGCTCCGCCGCGTCATCAGCGCGCGCCGACCCGGGCCGAGCCCGAGCCGCACCACGTGTACCGTGTTGACTGTCAAAGCGTCCCGGAGCCCGGTTCCCGGAAGCGGTGAGCCCCGACGCTGCGAACCCCGAACCATGAGCGCCCCGGGCGTGCTGTCGTTCACCCAGCAAGGCTGGGAGCAGGTGCTGGCCAAAGTGAAACGCGCGCTCGTCTACCTGGACGCCGCCTGCGCCGAGAGCCTGCACTGGGGCTGCGGGGCGTCGCGGCTGCTGGAGGCGGTGGGAGGCCCGGCGTGTCACCTGCGGGAGTTCGAGCCCGCGGCGGTGGGCGGGGGCGCCGAGCAGCCCAAGGCCGTGTTCGTGCTGAGCTGCCTGCTGAAGGGCCGGACCGTGGAGACCCTCCGGGAGATCGTCGGCCGCAGTCGCTTCCAGTACTGCGTGGTGGTCACCGCCGTGAGCCACGCTGCCCACCTCACCGCTAATCACGTGCCGGCGGCTGCAGCGGCCGAGCTGGAGGGGCAGCCGGTGTTCGAGCAGCTGGAGGAGAAGCTGTGTGAGTGGATGGGCAACATGAACTACACGGCCGAGGTGCTGCACGTCCCGCTGTGGCTCGCCCCCGTGGCGCCCCACCTTGCCTTGACCCCGGCCTTTGCTTCCCTCTTCCCGCTCCTGCCCCGGGATGTGCATCTCCTCAACAGGGCTCGTCCAGACAAGAGGAGGCTAGGAAGCCTGAGCGAGGTGGATGCCGCCGCCCTGCCCCCCGAGCTGCTTCTGCAGATCAGGTGCCTGGTGTCAGGCCTCAGTTCTCTGTGTGAACATTTGGGGGTGCGGGAGGAGTGTTTTGCTGTAGGTTCCCTCAGCCGGATCATCGCCGCGGATCTGGCTAGTTACGCCCCTGCCAAGAACAGGAGGAAGACCGCCGCCGGCAGGGCCTCAGTGGTCTTTGTGGACAGGACTCTGGATCTCACGGGTAAGTGGGGCTGCTGTAGGTCTTCCGAACCTCTCCCCGGGGTGCTGGCACTTTCACTGATTCAGCATTTATTCTATCTTTTAAAATATTTTTTTACATTTTTTATTTATTCATGATAGACGACAGAGGAGAGAGAGAGAGAGGCAGAGACACAGGCAGAGGGAGAAGCAGGCTCCATGCAGGGAGCCCAACGCAGGATCCCGGGATTGCAGGATCACAGCCCAGGCCAAAGGCAGGCGCTAAACCGCTGAGCCCCCCAGGGATCCCCTCAGCATTTAGTCTATTGACCTCTTACTCTGTCAGGCTGAGGATACAGAGATGAACTAGACGGACACAATCCGGATCGCACAGAGTTTTCCATCTAGGGGGGAATACAGGCGAGCAAATCAGCAATTACAGTCAAATTGTTGAATGCATCTTTAACATGCACTGTTTTGTTTCACAACTACATCTAACCAAAGATACTGGGGGAAATTATGCTGACATTGAGGAGAACTGTACACCTGGGAACCTTTTAGAAATGTGCAGTCGCCAAGACTCACAGCAATCCTCCATAAGAAGGCTCTGATTTGTTGGAGAGAGTTGTTGACGGGTGAACCAGTGGAAGGAAAACTGTGCAACAAAACATGAAATTATCGTAGGTAGTTTAGTTTTAGGTTTCTTTATTTTAATTTTATTTATTTATTCATGAAAGACACAGAGAGAGAGAGAGAGGCCGAGACACAGGCAGAGGGAGAAACAGGCTCCATGCAGGGAGTCCGACATGGGACTCGATCCCGGGTCTCCAGGATCACGCCCTGGGCCGACGGCAGATGCTAAACCACTGAGCCACCCGGGCTGCCCAGTGTTAGGTTTCTTTAAGTGAGTGTTAATAAATAAACTTGAAGTATTACCAGAAATTGAGATTAAATCCAATCGTAGAAAATATTTTCAGATGTTCGCTTATTTATTCTTAGCTGTTACTCTATTGAGGATTGGATAGATGATGTCAAATTTTAATAACGTTCAGTTATTTATGTGCAGAGAAAACAAGGGTAACCCTGAAAATAGGTGAACAGAAAACACTTTCTGATAGTGACATGTGCATATGTTCAAAGGTCACATTTACTGTTCCCTGATTAGGTAGATACAGTGTTGCTAGCAGTATGGTTTGGCCACACCCATATTCAGGGGTCATGGTCAGGAAACTGATCTTAGTAAATATTCTCCTTAGTAGGTCAGGAAAAAAGTGGAATGAAGTCACAAAAACCACAATAGCTGTATTTGAGTTTTTGACTTTATAAGACTAAGTTTTAGATCATAAAATAGAAAGTAAGCTAAGTGGTAATACTGTGATGTAAGCTTAATGATGTGACCATAAAAATAGTCCGTCATTGTGATTTAAGTACGAGTAAAAATCATAACATCTCAGAACTCTTAGAGGACTAAAAAGCACCCGAGGAGTTTATGCTTGCTGAATTTTTGAGTGTGCGGCATATACTGTTTCTACTTCTACTTTCTTAGGCCCCAAATATGACATTGTTTCATAATTAATCAAAGTCACATAGTGTTGTGCCCCTCCTCCACCCCTCTGATTTTGGCTGGGCAGACTTTAACGTCCCTGCCCTCCAGCATCATGGTAACAGCCCTTGTAAGTCTTAGGCATGTTTTCCTTGTATATGACTCTTGAAAATATAAGCCATCAGAAAACGTTCATATCTTCCTATCACCAAATTACCCAGCCTTTGTACATCTGTACCCACATATTTTTCTTTCCTTCCTTTGTATTAAGAAGAGATGTACTGTCCCTGCTACTATCAAATGCCAAATTCTTCACTTTTCCAGACAAGGTCCTCTCCCTTTTCACTTGTCTCATAGATTTACTTTTGTCACATACCCTCCCTTGTTTCTAGATCTTCATTGGAAAAAATCTTTTTTACTGGATTTTCCTGGTCAGCATACAAACGGAATGTAACATCTCCTCTCTTAACACCTCATGCTCCTCCAACTTGTTCTATTTTTTTTTTTTTTTTTTTTTTGCTCCATTTTACAACAAACTTGAAAGAGTCGTCCATACTTGCTCTCTGTACAGCAATTTCCTCTTTCAGGATCACGAATGGCCTCCATGTTGCCAAATCCAATGTTCAGTTATCAGGATTCATTTTAATCTCAAAGCAGCATTTGATACAGCAGAGTAGAGGATACAAAGAATTAAAAGTAATAAAAAATATTAAAAGATGCACAAAAGATGCACAGATAAATCCAGTTTCTTGTGTAACCCCATCAGAATGTAAATCTGACATGTCATTTGCTTGTTCACAGTCCTCCCTCAGCCTTCCATCGTACCTACTGTCAAATCCAAATTCCTTACCATTGTTTTCAAGGCCATACATGACCTGCCTATGTGTACCTTTCCTACCTCATCTTCCACTAATCTCCCCTCACACGTTATTTTCCCACCACACTGGCCACCTCACCAAATATGTCCCAGCCTCAGACCCTTTGGTGTTCTGCAGCTCAGCTTGGAATGTTCTTCCTTCAGGTATCTACACGGCTTTCTTGTTCACTTCCTTTAAATCTGTGCTCAGGTTTTTGCTTATCAGACAAGCCTTCTGGGACCTCCTTTAGCTACTCTGTAACCCTCATTGGGAGTCGTTTGTTCCTGGGGTCCTAGTAATTTATAAATTGAAGTCTTTTTAATGGATACCTTTTGAATAATCACTCAAATTATATTCCAGGTGAGCAGATTAATGATTCATTTGTGTCACAGTTGTTTCAACATAGTGCCATGTTAGTAATATTCGGGGCTGATTTGGTACATAGCTGTGTTGTAAAACCTACTTTTTAATCATTAAAATTCTTCTGTATTAATGAGTAAAGGGAAATTACTTATTGGGCCCACAAGCCACTGAATACTGTTGCTTAGTGTAGAAGAGGAGAGTGCTGGTGTGGACACAGCTGGTCCTCCAGAGTTGCTAAAGGTACTGAGGCAGCGAGGGAGGTTGTGATGATTGTGGAGATGTGGCATTTGTCCTCTCCTCCAAGGTGGTAGGGAGGTAGGTGTGTTGGTGGCCTTATTATTGTCTTGGGTGCTCTCTGTCTTTGGTCCAGACTCTGGTGATCAGGAACATACCTGATCAAAAAAAAAAAAAAAAGCAACAACAACAAAAAAAAACCCTCACTGTTTTTTCTGATATGTCTTGAATGTAACAAGCATAAGGAGCTGTGAGTCATAACAATAAGTTTGATGGAGAAATTGTTACAAGAGTTTGGTGTGGAGTCTTATGACAAACTGTGACTTAGATTAGTGCATTGTTTAGCCAGTGATACTGCAGCATACAAAAGATTACACCAACAATTTCTAAAAATTAAAAGCTGATTTGAAAATTATTGGAAAGACTCGAATGGTTTGAATTTCAATTTAAATTACTTGACAGTTTAATATAGAGATCAAAGGGAAATACATTTTTTAGATTTTGATTTAGGTGTTCATTTCCGTAAACATATATTAACTTTTACTATTAGTTGTTAAGTATTTTGGAAAACATCCTTGATATTTACCACTAGAAGGTTTGTAGGCTTATATGTCTTCTAGATGTAAAATTAGCACTACCAAAAATAACCTCCAATAATTCGTAGATATCCAACATTCTTTAACATCCTGCTTATAGTACAGACAAGTTTCTTTCTCATCTTTTTGTCATTATCGTTGATGAAAGTAACATTAATTTGTCTAATAAGTTGGTTTATTATTTTCAGTAAATATTTATTGAAGGCCTACTGTGTGCCAAGCATTGATACAGGTTTAGGGAAACAGTGATGAACAAGATAGGCTATTTCCTTGCTCTCCTGAAACAGTTGATAAGCTCTCAACACCTAAAAATATAGGAAGTTTGTTGTAATTATGTGAGAAGTAAATAGTCGCTGATGTCTGTTTGCAGTGATATTGGTTTACGTGTCCCAACCACTTAGAAGCTTGTGTCTCTGCAGAGTGCATCAGGCATGTTTGCACAGGAGATTTAAGTACAACATTCTTTTTTTTTTTTTTAGATTTTATTTATTTATTCATGAGAGAGACAGGCAGAGAGAGAAGTAGGCTCCATGCAGGGAGCCCAATGCGGGACTTGATCCCGGGACCCCAGGATTACGTCCTGGGCCAAAGGCAGGCACTAAATCGTTAAGCCACCCAGGGATCCCCTAAGTACAACATTCTATGGACTGTTCTGGCTGCTGATTTGTTTCAGGGGAGAATTAAAAAGGTAGATATGATTTATTAATCTTTCAAAGGTTTGAGTCTGGTTTCCTTTCCATTCTTTTTTGGCCCTTAGGATTGACTAGAATGCTTCAAGTTCAAAATCAAAAGATAGGGGGATGTCTGGGTGGGTCAATGATTGAGCGTCTGCCTTCAGCTCAGTGCGCGATCCTGGAGTCCTGGGATCGAGTTCTGCGTTGGTCTCCCCATAGGGAGCCTGGTTCTCCCTCTGCGTATATCTCTGCCTCTCTCTGTGTCTCTCATGAATAAATATATAAAAATTTAAAAAATTCAAAAGATAGAAGGTGGCAGTAACTCTGGGAATTTAATTTCCTCCCCTGGTTCCATTCTGAATTTTAGTTTCATGTAAACTTTTAAGTCAAATCCACTCAATTAAAGATTAACTTTCAGTGCAAAGGGTAATTCGTATTCCTGAGATTATGATACACTGATGCATTTATATTTGCTTTAAGGTATGTATATGATTTGTTAAAGTACTGAAATTCGAGACTATTAATAGCTAATATATGAGAGCATATTACTTTTCTTAGCCATCAACATATCTAAGCTTTTTTAATTTTCAAAATTTTTCTGTGAGGTAGTATGATTATCCCCATTTTACAGATGAGGAAACAGAGAAATTGAGGAATTAAGTAACTTGCCCAAAATCATGCAGCTAGTAAATGGTAGTCAGGATTTGAATGTTGGCAGCTTACTCCAAAACCTATGTTCATAACCCATCTCATATATGTTACTATAGAAAAATGTT